ATTATTAAAACTTATGCATACTCCCACAAGTTCCTAAGCCCTTGCTCATATTTTTCAGTGTTTTCTCTCATGATTCACAATGCATAATTTCTATTTTCCTGTCTTCCAGTTCTCTAATGCTTACCTTTTTTATCTGCAATCCAGTATTAAGGCCATTCATTGGCCAACCTTTTTACTTTAATTACTGTATTTTTCAGCTCTAAAATTTCCATTTGTTTCTTCTTTATATCTTTTTTGGCTGAGATTTTATATTTCTTTGCTGATGGCTTCTTCCCCTCCCATTTATTTCAAGCATGTGTGTAGTTGTCTATGAAAGCATTTTTTATGGTGCCTTTAAATCAGATAATTTTTAAAATTAGCAGATAATTTATCCTCTCACTGTTGTTATGTATTGACTGTATTTTTTTCTTTTCTTTCCTTTTTGTTTTGTTTTGTTGTACCAGGGATAAAACTCATGACCTCACACTTGCCAGGCAGGTGCTGTGCCACTGAGCTAAGTCCCTGGCCAGTTATCTTTTTCATTTGGTTACAGATCTTGGCTCTTGGTATGAAATCTTTTAAACTGAAACCTGGATGCTTTTTATTATGTTATAAAACTCTGAGCCTTATTTATGCTTTCTGTTTTAGCTGGCTTTCTCTGACATCATTCAGTTGAGAAAGGTAACATGCTGACTTCTTATCAAGAGTCAATAGAAATCTAGTTTTCCGGCTTAGCCATCACTGACACTTGAGGCAAGAATTCCTCAGGATTGCTAAGTCGGAATGGAAATTGCATCTCCCACATTGTCTCCATGATCTTCATTGATAGCTTGGTTGGGGTCACCGCATTACCACTAGGTGGTGGTGGAAGTCCTGACTGTTAACAGACTTTCTCTAGAAGGTGCCTCATTGCTGCTGGGTAGAATTGGAAGTTTGGGTTCTTCATGTGACCTCCAAAGACACTGTTGGAGAACAGGACTTATTACTGAGCGCTGACGGTAACCTTTTACTCAGCCTCCCCTACTACTACATTACCAGAAATGTTGATGGCTTTGTTACACCTCCGTGAAAGTAAAGGTCTGCACTCCCAACTTGGCCTTTGGTGGCATTGTTGAGGTCAGCCCATATTTTTTCTGTGGCGACAGCCCAGGAGTCATTGTCCAACAGCATTTTGTGTGGTAGGCTGCTGACCCTATCACAAGAGAAAGCAACTGTCTTCTGTTTGTTCACTTTGTCTGAATCCATTGGCATTCTCAGACTGCTCACTTCTTTAGCTCAAACTCTGGATATGTAAATGAAGGTACTTAGCAAAGTATTGTAACTTGGTCTCTAGATCCCTTGCTGGGTTCCTTCTTTTTATCTTTCAGTCTTCTTATATTTGTTTGCCTATAATCCTCAAGAATTTTTATTGTATTTAATGGAAGGAGTAGGGATAATATATTTATTGCATCTACCTGGAAGCAGAAATGCTACTGGCTTAAAATTTAGCCACATTTATCCAATTAGCCACATTTTTCAAAAAAGCATTATAGAATATATGAAATGAATAGAAAGCCTAGGACTGGGGTTTTGTTGCTGCTATTTTACAAATTACTGAAAATGTTTTGTTTCAATAAATGTTGGCTCCTTGACATCTGTTACTAAGTTATCCTTTGGAGATAATTCTGTGCTGTTGACCCTGTTCCTGAACGTTTTTTGAACTCTTTCAGATTTCATTTTAGACAATGAGTCATGTTCCTCTGAATATTATCAGTACATGGGTTGTCATCTTGTGAGACTGTGTTTGATTTTTTGGAAGCAAGCCCTAGTTGTTCAGAAGCCAAGAAGAGTGGTAAAACAGATGACCAAATTAGGAAACACAAGATACTTCTCAATCTAACACTCTTTTCTAAAAGAACATTGTGAACCAAGACATTTTTATAGTGACAGAGCCATTTCTTCCACATCATACAAAACCTCCCAAATACTTAACAATTTCCCATAATAAGCCTGATTGGCTGTGGAATGGATTTCATACATGCAGTGCCATGTGATATCAAGTCAACATGTATTTTCTCTGATTTTGACAAATATGCATTTGTGTCCTAGGGATACTGAAGTTTTTTCCCTATAAACTTTGATTGTTCGAGGTCATCTTGAAAATACCATATTCCATAAGTATTCTCTCATGCATGTGTTATTTTGTCCAATTTTCCCTTAAAAGTTCCAAATAAATGTCATATCTTATGTTCCTTTTTATGATTCAAAATGTGTCATATGCAGTCTTCCCAGAAGCCTCCTCCACATCCAAATTCCCCTTCAGTTTGAGTCCGTCTCACATTGCTAGCCCTCTGCCTGAACAAACCAGCCTCCAAAATCTACATTTTTATCACTCCTGTGTATGCAATGGTACTATTACCTCTTGTTAAGCCTTTGTACATTCCAAAAGGAAAAAAAAACTTTCTTTTATAGTCTTTCCACACCATAATTGTCCTCTAGGCATCTTATGCCATTTGTTTGTTTAAGTTTACATGTATTTTAATATTAATACTTTGCCTTCTACAGTTGTAATTCCCCATCCCCACACATCACAACCTGTAACCCAGGAGACTGAAAGAACCTCTCCTGCTGCTGTGAACAAAATCTCTTTTCAGAATGATCCTCCCATGTCTGCTTTCTGTTTTGCCAAGCCCGCTGGGAACACAGCTTCCTTAGCCCACAGTAATGGATAGATCCCTCAGTACAAAACCCTCACCCTATTTGCTTGACTACAAAGCTTGATGATGTCATGAGCTTAGCAGTTGATAGATTGATACATTTAATTTACCAGTTGATAGATTTAATTTACCAAGTAAGAAAATTCAAGAACTACTAAAGAAATGAAATATATCCTCCTTTAACACTGATCCTTTTTTTCCTTTTGAATTCACAGTCTATTAGAGGAGTATGATGATTTGGGGGAAGGTGGTTACAGTATCTTACAGTGTTTAAGAGCGTGACCTTTGAAAGACAGCCCTGGTTCAAATGTCAATCCTTTCAGTTTACCAGACCTGCAAACTCCTGAGGAAGGTTACTGAACCTCTCCCAACTTCAGTTTCTTCCTCAGTAAACTGGATAATAACAAGTACCTGTAATGCTGTTGCAAAGATTGAAGAAGGTAATACATTTAAGGTATTTCAGCACACTGTTCAGGACCAAGTGTTTGGTTGGTAGCTATTATTTATTAAATGCAGTTATTATCCCAGTGATTAAAAAGTCAGTAGGATATGCAGCTTTCTCACAAAGAATTCAAGATCCACATAATCCTGAGCTCAAGTAGTCCCATCAGGAGAAAAATAAGTCTAAAGGCTTGTGTAGCTCTATAATGCAGAGATTTACATTTTTGCCTTGGATAGACAGTCACTGAATTAATCAGCAAAAGAATCGTTAAGTAGTCATTATTGATTTTTCTCGTGTAGGTTATATATTAAGGCACCAAAGCTGTATTCCGGTTTCCTTCTGAGTTGTCTGGGTGTAAAACTGTTTTGCTTGTCTATGTGATCACTTCCAATTAAACTGCCAGTCCCTTCCCTCCCATGGTTTGAAGCACTGACTGAAGACACATTAATGTTCCCCAAGGGAGGTAAGAAGCTCCAGAAAGTGTAGAAATCAATGAATTGCTCAGTAGCTCGTCACTCCCAGCTTCTCCAACAGTGGGAGATTGTGTTTCTAACTATGTAGCTAAGCATGCTAGTGAGTTCATCCAGAATACTATGCTGGACATAGTGGCACTTGCCTGTCCTCCCAGCACTCAGGAGACTGAGGCAGGAAGATCGCCATGAGTTCAAGACCAGCCTGGGCTACATAGCAAGTCCTTATCTTAAAAAAAAGACAACAGAATACACCAGCTAAGTGCAATACCAGCTTTATCATGACTTCTGTCTTCTATCAACCAAATGCTGTAAAATTCCATGGAAGCAGAAAACAGTCAAATTTGTAGGAAGGAAAAACTTCACCAGAAGAGCCTTCATTCTTCCACAGTGGCTGAAAAGCTTGTGATTCCTCCTTAATGTAGATTTCTAAGAGAATAGATACAGTAGAGAAGGAAGCATTTACCGTTTTTTGAGGTTACCTTAGTTGTATGTATGAGGTTATTGTTTTGTGATCGCAGCTGAAGTGTGAGACTGTTGGAATGGTAATTGTTTTCTTACTGTGCTGGTGCAGACTGGCGCTCTTTTAGGAAACGTTTCCTCCTGTTTCTGTTTCCTTATATTGCTCTCTAAGATGTTTAAAGTAATTAAAGGAATGTGCAGCGTTCATTTTAAAGAACTTTCCATATCTAGTGCCTCCACCGATTACAGATACTCTCAGGATTTTGTCACATAATTAATTTTTAATAGCATTTAAGAATTCTGAGAATCGGGGGCTGGGGATTTAGCTCAGCGGCATAAGCAAGCACCTGCCTTGCAAGCAGGCAGTCATGAGTTCGATCCCTGGTACCAATAAAAAGGAAAAAGACCAAAAAAAAAAAAAAAAGAATTCTGAGAATCAAATTCTTGATTTAATAATGCAAAAAACTAATCCTCATTGGTTATACTCACCTGAACAAGCTCATTACATGCTTACGCACATAAAACTTCTCAGTTTGTTTTGTTTCAGAATTAAGAAACCGCTTTTCTCATTGCCTTCCATGTCATTGACAGTCTATACCTCAGAGATTTTGCAAAATAAAATGTCAACAAGAGCTCCACTTTATTTTCAAGTTATGACTGCTTTCTTTTCTTGAGATTTTTCACCTTGCACTTGGTTCCCTTAAAAGCAGAGGTTAACCAACTGTAGCCAGCCTGCAGATGACCAGAAATACGTTTAATGCTAGCGCACTCAGATACTAGCATTTTCACAAAATGTGGTCGCAGCCCATGTTTCTTGGTTATCCTTTGCAGCTGGTGCTGAAAGCCCAAGCCACTGCACTCTCCCCAAGAGGTGTTCCAGACGTCTTCTCAACAGCAAAAGCATGCCCTCGGCACCAGGAACCGTTGCCTGACAGGTTGTGTTCTCCACAGGCAGGTAGCCACATCCAGACGTTGATGGGGTCCCAAAGCCTGCAGCATCGCAGCCGGGAGCAGCAGCCGTACGAGGGCAACATAAACAAAGTGACCATCCAGCAATTTCAGTCACCATTGCCTATTCAGATCCCCTCCTCACAGGCCACCCGGGGACCGCAGCCTGGACGGTGCTTAATTCAAACTAAAGGGCAAAGGAGCATGGATGGCTACCCAGAACAGGTGAGAAGAGTTTTGGAAAATAACCGATGAATTCCAAGGAAGTTATTTAAAACCCCAGTTTGCCTACGTTTCCTGATGTGGTCCTGGATGCGTAAAACCATCATCCTGTTGAACGGGATGCAGTACACGCTGTAGAAATTTTATTAATTTTTTCAGTAGCCCAGGACTATTCCACATAAGCATTTAGGGTGGACAAGATACCCTTTCCCATTAAGAAAAAATCATGGGTCAGAATAGTTTTTCCAATCCTGTCCTATGCCGCGTACCCAACTCTGGTTTAACTGCAGTGTAGCTTCTGAGTGTCCCAGCTTTGGTGGATCAGAGGGTACTGACCAAGGCTCGGGGCAAAACAGACAGCACAAAAAGGAAATTATGATTTCCCTCTACTTGGGAGAAAGCATTTTTAAAGTTCTGTCTTCTGGCTGTCAAACAGTACAGAGATAAAACTTTGCTATGAAGACATTAAACAGTCACAAGAGGAATATTTCCAAAATGCTCCAAAAGCTACCAATAAATGCCAGGTAGCAAAAACCTAGCCGCTCTTCTGACCTATCTAAAATTAGGATTTGCTTTTCCATTGTAGAATCCATAATTCTTCCCTGGAACCAGAGAGCAGAATGAGGTCTCATCTAGTGAGTTTTCGAAAGCAAAACATTGAGATCTGAACATTCTCATAAAATGAATTTCTCTTATTTCCTTTGGATAATTAGGCAAAGCTCCCACTGACTTCACTAACTTCTTGGTGTGACATGCAAGGCTTTCATTTTATTATTTATTACTCAAAGGTTTACATATCATGCTTCCTTGTTTTATTTTCTAAATATATCATGCAGTGGTCTGGGGATTTAGCTCAGTGGCACAAATGCCTGCCTGGCAAGTACGAGACTATGAGTTTGATCTCCGGTACTGGAAAAAAAAAAAAAGGAATCTAAATATATCAGGCAGGATTAATTTTTCTCATTTTTTCTTTGTATTAAGAGCCATTTATCATTTGGATCCCAGCTGCTTCAAATATTGCCTCTATTTCTTAATATCTGTCTTGAAACTGAAAGTATTACTATTTCGCTGCATCTCGGGCAATTTTTTTTTTTTCAAAATAATTCTCTTCCTCTCCTTTCTTGATCTAGGCCAAGAGCTGGATTTAATGTCTAACAAACCAGACAGAAATCTTTAATCAGATAATGATACAAGGTTTTTAATTCTACAGAGATTGTAAGAAGTAAAAAAGTTTTAAATTATGCTCTACCAAAAGCATGCTGGGATGTTAAAAAGTTTATATTTACAACCACACATATAACCCAACCTCAACCCAGTTCTCCGATTTAGCTACTAGATTCCTTTTAGTAGCTAAGTGATTGGGTATTTTTTCCTCCAAGAATCAAGAAATTAAAATTCCACAGAGATCAGTGCCCTGTTTTCATCTAATTTGAATTACAGTTCAGTTTTAACAAGCAGTTATTCCAAATACCCTAAATACATAATTCGTATCACATTTGACTGGTGAGAAGTTTATGCATTAGTCGAGTTGGAAGCATCATGATTCTTACAGGGAGTGTGTTTCTGTTAGGTCCCAGGGTGCGGCTTCATAGCACTGATAACAGCCTGGCCGCAGCCTTTCACAGTGAGAGAGGCAGAAGCACGGAGGCCTGTGTTAGGGTGTGGACTTCCTTATTTCTTCTGGGTTGATCTCCCTTGATTTCCAGCTGAAATGGTTTAGAAAGCTGAGATAAAAACTTGGAGAGACCACAAAAAGTCTGAAGATCTTTAAACACCTATTTTTCATTCCAAAAGTACACTCTTCCCACCACTCAGTTATAAATCCTGACACAGTCTGTTAAAACTTCTTTCACGTTCCCATGTAACATTTGTCAACTACTGGGGCATGCTAGAACCAGCTCCCACTGGCCCATTATTATGTGCATCTCTTCCCCTGTCTCCATCTGAGTGACAGCCCATGAGAAAGTTGACACCGTGGAAATAAATACATCATGAAAATAGGCTAGTATCACCAGTCGGGGCATGCACCCCATGCCCAACCAACTGTTCTACTGCACGGTCTTCTCATCTTTTGGTTCTTCCAATCTCTCCGCTTTTTCATTTAACTTTAATTCTTCAAGAAAGAAAATGCTAGGGACCAGTTTTAAGATTTCATATTTGCTTTCATAGGGCATGTGTCCTGGCTGACTTATTAACTCCCGAAATTCTGTTTTTCTCCTTAAAATGAAAACATTCCCACCTACAAACATCATCTTAAAAAGTATTTGTGAGAGTCAAATACAGATTTATAGAGAGAAAGAGAGTAAGCCTGTCACTGAAACTATAGAAATAAAAAATAGAAGAAACAGGAATATAAAATTTTGAAAAATAAAATTTTGGTGAAGAATTTAATGCTTATCAGTTCCAACCTCCTTAGTCTACATACAGGGGGAAAACCCCAAAAACATAAAAAGAGGTTCTAAATTTCTTGTGGAACACCACATAATTTCTTCACTATGCTTTCAGTGTTTCCTTCCCTGCTTCCTCTGTGCCCCCTTTATGATGGGATAGTTTTTATCAGCTTTTCTAAATCCCACCTGCATGTAGGTCTGTGCAGGAGCTTCGAAAGAACAGATGCCCTGGCTGATCTGCATCTGACCTGGGTAATGAGAATTTCTAAACTTTCTGGTTGATTCTTTTATGTAGCCGAGGGTGAGGATCACTGCTTCGGATATTCAGTAGCGCAGCGGCTTCCAGCTGCACCATCACAATTTAGCAGCATATAGAAATCGAGTACTTTTAAGGAAACTACAAGCCTGGTTTTTCCCTGGTAACTATATAATCCAAGACAGATTATATATGCGGAACATTTAAATAGCAATGCAGAGATGAGAAGGAAAAGAAACAATGGCATGGTGTTTCCACAAAAACTCATGTGTCAACTGACTTAATTGCTGACACTTTGCTGCAGATGAAGCGGTTTTTATTTTATTGACAGGTAACTAAGAAATTAGGATCTTGGCTGTAGCCAGTCTTACGACAATTCAGAGGCCAAGCAGGATCAGAGCGCAGTCTCCCAGGTCTTCTAGGTGACCACATGCGCTGGTTGACTGTAAGTCCATGCTGCTAGAGAGGAAGAGAGGAAACCCACGCCCAACTCTGCCCATGCCTCCTACATGCACGCAGCTTGCACGGCCAGAGCTGTGCTGCGAGGGACGCTTTCTACAAATCCAGAGCTGCACTGAACAATTTTGATGGCTAGAGAATAAAACTCTTTGGGGAAAACATTTGCAAATAGCAATCACATAAGAGGCGGCAGTAGGAGGCACAGGACCTCCCTGAAGTCATCTGAGCAAATAACATGCATGGAAACCTATTTTCTAAATATCTTAATTAAAGTGCTACCTTTTAATTCAAAAGCTATCTTGTACTAACCTGGATTCATTGTACATATTCATGAGCTTCTGTGTGACACTGCAGTATATACAGAGGGCACTGAGAAGATAAGGATTCTCTTTAGCCCCTGCCTGCCCCCATTTCTCAACATCTAGTAATCAGTGTCCTACATTCAGGTTAATTTTTTTAACATCCACATAGTAGAGAAAACACACAGTGCTTTCTTCCCTGTCTCATTTATTTCACTTAACACTTTCCACTTCCACCCATTTTGCTGCAAATAAAAGATTTAATTCTTTTTGAGGGGTGAGTAATGCTTTGTTATATAAGTGAATAATATGCATATATGCATGTGTGTGGCATATAGATGTCGTGGTGTTTTCGGACACTCATCTGTTGATCCTGTATCTTAGCTATTATGTTACCACAATGAACATGGGAATACAGGTGTCTCTGGTATCCTGATGTCACTTCCTTTGGATCTATACCCAGAAATGGGGGAGCTGGATCATAGAGGAGATCTGTGCTTAGTTTTTTGAGAGACTGCCACATTATTCTCCATAATGTTGTACTAAATTACATTCCCACCAACAGTGTCCTTTTTCTCTACATCTTCATCAGCATCTATTTTTAAAGTTTTTGGTAACAGCCCTTCTAACTGGGGTGAGATGATAGCTTGTAATTTTGAAAAAATCTATAATTTAATAAAACACAAGCTCTTCTTCTTCCATCACTCACTATACTGAAGCTTCTAATAGATGAAAACCTGATCAGAAGCTCTCGAAGCAGCTGACCAGAGCATCTGATCTACAGATGTGTGTGAAATAACTCTTCTGGGCCCACTGCTCACATATTCCTTATATAACTGAGTAGAAAAGTGACTTCTTCCAGCATAAATACAACATTTCCTCCTGGGCACCTTGCCATAGCTCTTCCTGACCTCCAGAGTCGTCCACTCTCAGGCCTCGACTTCTTTCTGTGTCCTATGCATGCTCTCCAAGGATGACCCCGTTAAATCCATGCTGCATGACTATAAAATCTCTCCCCAGCCCTGGCCTCTCTCCTGCATTCCAGATGTCCCAGCACAGTTAGCTGCTTGTTGACATCTCAGCCCGGATGTCCAGTGAAGGTCACACAGTCCAAAGGAGCTGTCAGTTCCCTGCCCTGTCCTTCCACCAACTAAACCTGCTTCTCTCCCAGAACCCCCACTTCATTCGTTCACAACAGATCTCATCTACACACAGATGATGACACCAAAAACACTTGATTTCCCTTTCTTGCTGCCCACATCTGTCTAAAGCAATTCTAGCAAAGCATTTCTAGAATCTTCCATCTCTTCTCACCTGTACCACTGCCATCTTAGCTGGCCATGACCTGATCTCTCATGAGTTCAAAGACACTTTATTACTTTTCTTGCAGTTTATTTCCCTTCAACTGCCAGATTTATCTTTCTCAGACAAAAGTATCATGTCACTATTATGCTACAATGCTCTAGTGGCTTCCAAATTTCCAAATAAATTGTTAATCTTTGTCCTATGGCCCCACATCCCTGTAGCACTGTAAGACCAAGTCAAAGCATGGTCTTCCACAGACCATAGATCATGACCATCAGGCCCTTGCTGTGACGCACCACCCCAGTTTATCATGAAACCACTTTAAAATAAGACCCAGTATTAAGAAAGATCAACAGGGATCAGAAGTATCTAGAAATTAAAAGGATGCCAGCAGACTCTATAGAAACAGTTGAACCACTGCCAGACTGTTGCTTCTGTTTTCTGTGCCAAATGTCATTCTCAGTAGTCAGGCTCTTTGAAGAAAGTCAAAATACTTATTCTCCTTAGACAAGCTATTTATTAGACTCCTCGACTTAACCTTTCGCTGGATCATTGTATGTTCTCTGCTAATCCTCTTTCATCTGAGACTGCTTCCGGCTGGGAGGTATTCTCTCCTCTTGTGTTCGTGGCCTCTCTGGACATTGGCAGGTGAAACCCCTTATAGGTGACATGAATACTGTCTCTGACATGCTTTATGAGACCCAATTGTCACACACAACCTATTAGCCTTACTTTAGCATGCCCAAGAGTCAGAATTTATTTTTGCTTGTCACATTTATAAAACCATAGTGTCATCTTTACTATTTCTATTATCAATAAATATATTAAGATAGTTCTTCAAATACTTCACACATATGAAATTTGTTTTCCTTAAAAGTTTTAGTACCTTCCAGATTTATAACAGCTGGGGGTTTAGCTCAACGGCACAAGCTCCTTCCTGGCCAGTGTGAGGTCATGAGTTCGATCCCCAGTACCACCACCAAAAAAAAAGAAACAGACTTACAATAATCTAAAATATATATAGTCACTACTGTGAGAAAAAGAATAACTGAAACTTACTGTTGGCAATATTGTGTGTAAATTAAATATGTTGTATTTATTTCCTTTCTATTTTTATATGGGCTTAGGGAGAACCAGAACTGCACATACATGTTATGGAATAAGAAATGTTGTATTGGAATGGTAGAACCAAATTTTAAACGACTTATTTAGAAAAGCATAGATACATGAGCAAACACAAAAGAAAAAGGTTATGACCATATTGCTTGATTTCTTCTCATTTTTCAATGAATAAATAATAACAAAAGGTAAACTAAAATATTGAATAAAGCCAAACTATTCCTTCCACTGCATCAGCAGTTATATGTGTGTTCCCCTGACTACAACCTGTTAAAAGCTGTGGTTTCTACCACCTTAGGAAAACCAGTTTTAAGCAATCTAGCTCACTTGAAGGAAAAGTTGTAATTAAATGTATCTTTAAAATAAAACTATAGAAGAGTATTTTGATCGTTGTACACTCACCCATAATTTGCAAACTACTCTTTAATGACTCCACTATAAAAATCATATTAGTAAACAATTTTTCCCCTTTTGTCACAAGTGAACTATGTTAAAGATTATTTTTATTATGATGAAATATGACAGTGAATTAAGAATGGTCCCATTAAGCAGAAAAACCTAGTTGCTTTAAGTTCCAGTGGCTACCATTGTTTACTAATTGAGCCAGGAGTAGGATTCAGGTTTGCCCTGAACTGTCTAAGAGGTAGTGATTAAAGTGCCTTGCAAGTGAAAATAGGCTTTCAGCCACCCAGGGTCACTGTCCCGTGTTGCCAGCAGACATTCATCCCCAGCCCAGGATCACCGAGAATTGTTAGGTTCGCACAGTTTCTCTGGTCCGTCTGCACCGAAGTTCCTTCCAGGGAATGCTTGACCTACACTCTTTGCGCACTGGCAGAATCATCTTCACTATTATGCCAGCCCAAGCCCCAGTGGACCCCACTGCTAATGGCATCCGTCCCCACCATGCTAGAAAACACCAAGCTCTTGTGTCTAAGAGACTTGTATTGGTGATTTGGGGTGTGGTAGAGGTAATATAACCCAGAACATTAGGACACTAGTTCTCAGGGCCCAGAATATTTATTTGCCGTTCTCTGCCGCAAACAAGCTCCCCACACTCTGACCCTCTTTCTCTGACTTATCCTTGACCTTCAGTTTCTTCTGAGATGCCCAGCTGGGACCTGGCCCTGGGCCTGCGGTCAGACTCTTCCCCGATGATTCCTTAGTTTCAGTCTCAGCCTCCGTCCAGCTGGGTCCCCTTCTCACACTGGAACCTCTCTGCGTTTTTAAGCACTGTAATCGTTTGCCAAGAGGATGAATTGTTCTCCGCTACTGAAAAGCAGATTTGTATATTAGGTAGCAGGGTTTTCTTTTAAAATATTTCTATAGTTTTACTGTAAGTAGCTGCATTTTCTCACAGCATTCAAGAGCTGTCTTGTGCTGATTCAGCCCTGCTTTCTTATTAGTCTGGATTTATTACTTTTATGGTAAGGAGCTAAGAAAACGCATAATTTCTTCAGCATTCATAAGACTGAATTTTTGGAACCTGCCGATCAAAATTTAGTCCTGCTAATAAACAAGTACTTACAGATGTCTGCTTGCTCAGGTAATTTTACATAGGGAAGTGCTGAAAGTTTTGTTAGAGTTTATACCGATTTTTTTTAATACTAAGTGAACATAAGCTACCTATATGAAATGTGAATCTTTGCTACTGAGATAAAGTTATTTGCAAATGTGTAGATTTGATAGCTGTTTGATTACTTTTTAAATTTTTTTTCACATAGTTTTGTGTGAGAATAGAAAAGAATCCTGGCCTTGGATTTAGTATCAGTGGTGGAATTAGTGGACAAGGAAATCCATTCAAACCTTCTGACAAGGTAAGAAATGAATTTTTTATTGACAATTTTAGTTTAAAGAGCTAGCGTCCTCACAGTGACATCAAAGGTTAAGGAAAAAACCTTCATATCACAATAAATAAACAAATGAATGTGCGAAAACAATGTTCTGTTTTTACAGAATTTAATGAGCTAGTTATCTATGAAGCCAATTAAAAGCTTTTTCAGCATAAGGAAAAAGAATCCGCTATAGTGCTTGTCAATACTAAGAAGCAAAAACATATATTTAAGCATTCTGTTTGAAAGGGAAAGGAGTGTTCCAGCTTTTTTAAGTATTCTGGTTTTTTGTTTTATTTACATGCTTGAATATATTGTAAAGAAAGGCAATTTCTAACCAGTTGCTTCCAAAGACTTACCTGTAAATCACTTATTTATTACTTAGATGAACTTTTTTACACAGTAACAAATGATTTCAGGGTGATTCGGTGCCAAGCTGAAACCTGGCTGCCAGCTCATTAGGCTTGTAAAGAATTCTGTTAATAGGACTATATTGTAAAACTACCAAAAACTCTTGTGGGAAGTTGGAGTTAGCATTAACAGAGGAACCAGGTTTTCTCCCTGGTTTGTCTGGACTTGTCAAGCATGGGAGAAAGGCACCCCCAACTCTCACCTCAACCACTGCCTGGGCGTCCAACATGAGGCCCCTGTTCAAGGCGGCCTGCTGGGTTCCAGTGTGGATTGTCTGACTTTTAAAAATAAGGCAAAAAATTTACCCTGATCTATACAACCTGCCCTGCTACCAACAGTGTTTGTCCCTGATTTAAATCTATTAGAAATTATAACATAATGATAATGTAAATGATCTACTTTTTACTTCATCAAATTTAAATATTAAATGGCATCTTGAAACCTTAAGATGATGAAGAAAACTCAAAATTATATTTAAATAAGATCTCCATGGCCTATTACCTTTGAATCACAACTTGGTCCAAACTCTTTCAGCTCATCACTACCCTAAAAGTAACTCACAAATCAAATTCTAATCATGAAACCTGATTCTGAAAAAGAAACTGGAGATTTTTAAAGCCAGAAATAAAAATATTAATACTTGTTTTCCCTAAAATTCCCTCCATTCATCCCATTTCTTATACTTTTCCTTCTCTTCTCCCTTCCTTCTCAAGGACAGAAGAGGTCAGACCAAAAGGAGGACTTGTTCACACACTGTTGCATACATTAAAAAAATCTCTAGTGACTATGGGTGGTCCTTATTTAGAAATAGAGACTGGAAAGCCATTGCTATCTAAAATTTGTGCATGGGGCAGCCCTACATAATGTTCAGGTACCTAGGAGAAGCTCAGAACCATCTGTAGCCCCTGCGCCCCCTCTTTGGAACCATTGTTGAGGATGACGGTTGATGGAGAATTACAATGTTGAGTGTGGGGTTTGAACCCAAGGCCTTCCCACTGAACTACATCCCCAGCCCTTTACATTCTTAGTTCATTTTTGAGACAGGATCTCACTAAGTCCTTACTTGTCCTATCTGGATTCAAATTTGTCACCTTCCTACGTCAGCCTCCCAGCGTATTGGGAGGGAGCAAGGTGTGTGCCACCAAGCCAGGCCAACGTGATACTCTTTTAAACCCTCAACTCATTTTGCTTTATTTATCTTGTTCCCTCTTTTTGTGTCTGGTTTTCATACCATCCATACATTTTCAATGCATTTTCAAAGTTAATAAATACATTTCATACATTTTCAAAGTTAATAAACTGCTCATTCGTAAGGTAGTTGGAATTCAGAGGGTTTTTCTTTTTTCACTGGCAGATAAATCTTTTCACTGTATTTTTGGAAGATACAGGATAATATTTCTAAATTAAGGATGAGTAGTCCTTATTAGTTAGTCCTTACTATTTAGTCCTTTTGCTAAATAGTCAAAAGGTCAGAATACTGTCGTATTTCTGGGATTTTTTGTTTTTAGTAGTACATGTTTGCAGTACCTAACCATTACATTCCTTGTAGGAGCTGTTGCACATATGTGATACATCTGAATTGTTTCTATTGCCATTTTTATTCTCTTCAGTTCTTAGCTGCCTTCCCCTCTGTGAAGATCTGTCTTTCCATTTCCTGTGAGCTATACTGTATTTTTCTCTTTAAATGCAGGTCTTTTTTTTTTTTTTGTATCAGGTATCGAACTCAGGACCTTGTGCTTGCCAGGCAGGTGCTTACACCACTGAGCTTTATCTCCGCCCCTTCTCTTTAAATTATCTATACTTTGGGTTTCTTACATGAAAGAAACCTTGTGATATTTAAGGTTGTGTGTCTATTGCAGGGAGCTAAATCTGCAGCATTCAAATCACTGCCTGTAATTCTTCCGTTATAATGAAAACGAACAATTTCTAACTATTACTTTAATTTATCATTTGTAACATTTCAATGAGTCTAGTGAGACTGAACTATGTCCGATCTTATAATTTACTCTTTTGGTTAAATGTAGTAGACATCGAGCTTGAATTGAATAATAGGTCCATTGAAAGATTTCCTGAAAAGCACTTTTTTCTTTGGCTGATTACACTCTGAAGCACTTCACAATGTGAAAAGTAAATCTCTATTATTGTAAAATTGATGAGAATCACCAGAATTTCCACATCTATGAAAGAATCACAGTACTGCTCAATGTACTGACCACGTTCCTAGCATGCCAGGCACATGGTAGGCCCTTGATTATGGTGTCCAGGGATCTGAAAACTTCAGCCCTGATAGTTCACATGGGAATTTAATCAGCTCTCAAAGAAAGGAACTAATGTCTTAGAAATTCAGTTGCATTTCTTTTGCCTTGGTGCTTCATTGTTATAGTTGTTACATAAACTTTAGCATAAAATCCAGTGCCTGTATCTACCTCCAAAATACCAAACAGTAAGAAACTGAAAATTAGCTAAATACCCCTCTTTCCAGTATTCAAAACAGATTAGACTTTTTATGAGTTGACTAACTTCAGCTCAAGGCATGAGGAACCAAATTAAACAGATGTTTAAATTCAACAGATCCTGTCTAAGTCTGAAACAGAAGCTCTACAAAAAGTCAAGTCATGCAAAAGCTAAAACTACAATACCAAACACATTCTCTCCCACTTAACAAACCCTGAATTAGCGCTCTCTTCTCAGAAGCACACTTTGTTATCCCACTTAATGATCATAAGTGCTTGAATATTTTGCTACTCAAAATTTTAAGTACCCAAGAACATCTGAATATCTTAGAGGCATGGAGAACTTTCTACAGAAACTTGGTTTGTACTCTTATTGTGGATGGCAACCACTGTTTCATCCAGATGCCGAGAACCAATATGAAAGAGCATGCAAGCTGATGACAGCTTGTGCACGCCTGAGATTGTCACCTCAGCAAAGGCTGAGCAGAGGCTGCACAATACAGAGAGCTGTCTAAGCTCTGGGACAGGACGGTGTGCGATTTAATGCAGAAGAGTCCTGAGACCACCCAGAAGCTTACTGTGGCTTCAGGAAAGGTTAAGGATGAAGTCCTAAATGACAGCTATTGCTCAAGACTTTAGCATTTGAAAACAGCATCCGTAGTAAGGCTAACTCCTCTCCAGAACCCAGGTGGTCTTAATTCTTGGGTTAAAGGAACACCATACAATGAGCCCTAGAGTTAATGCTGTCAAACCAACATGCAATAGTTAAAAGCAACCAACTCACTCAGTATGGAGCTCCTGTTTTGAAGCTCATCACAAGTTTGATTCCCGGTACCAAGAAAAACAACAAATCACCATAAAACTCGTCACCAAAACTGCTTCTGCGTACTTGGAAAGAGGAAGCAGACGACACTGCCTAGCAATGTCCCTGTCCAATGCTTGCCTCTGCCCTCTCGATATTGTGGGTCAAAGCCATGATCACATTTATTTCTGTAGAGAAGCATTGCTGCCAGAGTAGCAAGATGCTGCTGAGAGAGAAGGAATCGGTTCCAATAACTGTGATAATAAAGTAGTAAAAATAACAGCCTTTTTTTATTATCTGCAGTGTTCTGGGCTCTGTATTAGGCTCTTCATGTGCGTGGACTTATGTCATCTTCATAGCAACTTCTGTTAGCTGAGTAATGTTATTATTCCCCAGAGGGGTTAATTAACTTCCCCAAGGTTATTTAGCTGATCTGTAGCAAACAAGATTTGAAACCAAACTAATCTGACTCTAAATCCTTCTCTTTTAATAAGCACTATCGTACGTGTCTCTATCCACAAATGCCCCTTGACAGAAGATCCACACGACAAATTTACACCCTGGAGAGCTGAGATGAAGATGATGTCCCAATATCTAAAGTATCACAGGGCCCTCTAATTAGTCATAGTCTCCATATTTGCTTTAATAAGTCCTTGGGAGTCCGCGTGTGTTGTTATCAAACCAGGATAATTAGAAGCCTGCTGAACGGAGTAGACTGCAAACAGTTTCATAGCTCATGGGCTAAGGTGTCATCACAGGAGTGACGCTGCTGATGGAACGGGCCACAGTACCCTTTATATTTAACTGCCCATAACTGAACAACGTAAGGCTTCAAAATTGCGAGGTTGGACCAAGATCGCTTCTACAGGATGTTGTTAAAAATGAAAAAACTAGACTGATAGATGACGGCACGGTGCAGCCACAGTGTTCCATAAAGCAGCTCAGAACACTGCAAGTGAAAGAACTTCTAATGATGCGTTCACAGCTCATCATTCGCAGGCTAATATCTTTCCTTGCTCCATTTGAGGAAAGGAGCAGTCAGTGCCTAGAGTTTAAAGGCATTAATGAAGACTCATAGGCCTTTTCCCCCAAAGGCTGCAAAAAGTATTGCCCTACACATTGCCATGAGTAACTATCCAGTCATCGAATCCCATTGCAAGTTGTTACAATGGATCCACCCCACCCTCAAAGGACTTGAGAGCAGAAAATGCATACACTGGGGCTACCAAATCCCTTATTTTCCTAAGTATCATAAACGCCAGAGAGCTCATCCATATCTCCACCAGGCGGGGCAATCTGACTGTCACCACAGAAGTGAC